AATTGCACCTCATAGTGATTGGAAACGATCAGAGTTTGTTTTGAATAATGAAGGGCTTCAACAGGTAATTCTTTATCGTTTTAGTGTATATCAAGCGAAGAAAAATTATTTGCACATTCGATAACTGAATTAGTTATAGTAACTTTCCTTGCTTGTGCCAAGTATATTCTTTATCTGTTTATTACTTACTTGTGTTCTTTCTGTTCATCTACTTCCTTTCAGCAGGTTAGTAAAAATGAGCAAAAGCATGTACCCTAAGGCATCTCAAGTAGATCAGTGGAAGCAGCTATAAAAGTTGACGTTCCCGATATCGTTTCTGTTTCAGCTGATCGTGATCTGACTTTACCACCTGGTGCTGGTGAGTGCATGCATGCTGCTTGCTTACTGGTGAGTTCTTGGTTTGGATGGTTTTTTTTTTTTTTTGGATGGTTATTTTTTGTTTGGAAGTTTGCTTACTGGTGGTTCAGATTCAATGGTGTTTTGGTTTGGATGGTTATTTTTTGTTTGCTTACTGGTGGTTCAGATTCAATGGTGTTTTGGTTTGGATGGTTATTTTTTGTTTGCTTACATATACATCTCACACACACACACACACACACAATAAGTACTTGGCCAATATTGTAGAAAACACAGTTTCTTTAGCCTATGGAAAAAAGCATAGTTTCTTGAAACATTTTGGTAAAATGTCATGAATGGTAGATTATGCTTTTTTGGGTTTAAATTATGTATAATGTGTAGATTATGCTTACATAGAGATTATGCTATTTTATTTGATTAATGAATATAGTTCCATTATTTAATTTTTACAGATTTTTACATAATGTCTCAATCTCAAAGTCAAAGTTCCCCTAGTAGTACTAATGTAGCATCATCTACGGCTACATCACCATGTCCTCCACAACCCACACAGTCAAAACCATCAATGCCTCCCCCAAACCCCTCATCCTCCAGAAAAAGAAAAGCACCACCTATTCCAAAGACAAAGCAACCAACTATAATAGCTTCACTAGAGAGATCTTCTTCTGAGAGATCTTGGGTTTGGGATCATGTCACTAAGTGTACCGTCTCGGAAATACAAGAAGTAGAAAAGGATGGAAAGAAAGAGAAGGTGGAGGTACAAGTATTGAAGGCTAAGTGTAACCATTGTAACACCCTTTTTGCATGTGATACTAGTGGGGGTGGAACTAGTACTTACATTAAACATATCAATAAACATTGCAAGTCATATAAACCAACTGATGAGTTGCAAAAGGTTCTAGGTAGTTCTGGACCTTCTGGGGATGTCAAAAACATGCTTGTTGCTAAAGGGTGGAGCCAAGAAGAAAGTGTGGAAGGTATTATTGAGTTTATTGTGATGGAGGAGGTACCTTTTAGTATTGTGGAGAGTGAAGGGTTTAGGCGGATGATGTGCAAAGTCTAGCCTAGATTGCATGTTCCATCTCGAAGCACTATCGTGAGGGAGTTATTCAGTATGTATGATAGCATGAAAGATCAGTTAAAAAAGGAGATACACAATCATAGAGTGAGCTTGACTACCGATACATGGACAAGTGTGCAAAATTTGAACTACATGGTGCTAACTGCTCATTTTGTGGATGATGATTGGAATATGCACAAAAGGATTCTAAACTTTTGTTTGATTTCAAGTCATGAAGGCAAAGAAATAGGGCAGATGATTGAGCAATGTTTGGTTGAGTGGGGGATTGAAAAGGTAATGTGCATTTCAGTTGACAATGCATTGGCTAATAAGGTGGCAATTGAGTATGTTGTTCATAAAATGCAGAAATGGCTTAATAGTAAAGTGATTATGAATGGCAAGTTTATGCATGTGAGGTGCTTAGCTCATATTATCAACTTGGTAGTGAAACATGGGTTGAAAAGATTAGAGACAAGTGTGGATGCTCTTAGAAATGCCGTGCGGTTTGTGAGATCAAGTCCCCGAAGGTTAAGTTATTTCAAGAAATGTGTGGAGAATGAGAAGTTGGATAGTAGGGGTCTAGTTGTTATGGATGTGCCTACTAGGTGGAATAGCACATACATGATGCTAGAATCTTGCTTGAAGTTTAAAAAAGCATTTGAAAGGATGATCGAAGATGATGAAGCCAATATATACACCACCTATTTCAGTGAAAAGGTGTTTAGTGATGAAGGAGAAGAAGTGGCGGGTAAAGGGAGGATTGGACCACCTAAGGAGGAAGATTGGGATAGTGCAGAAGTGTTTGTGAAATTTTTAAAGGTCTTCTATCTTGTAACTTTGAAAGTTAGTGCAACTAAGTATCCCACATCTAACACAGCTGTTCATGATGTCATTGCTGTGGAAAACGAGATAGAAAAACTTTTTTTGCCTGAATATATGCAAACTGGAAGACCTGCAGAGTTGGTGCTACGTGATATGGCATTCAACATGAGAGCCAAATATCGAAAGTATTTTGGTTCAATTGAGTCCCTTAATCAAATATTTGTAATTGTCCTTGTCTTAGACCCAAGGTTCAAATTGAGGCACTACATGCACTTGTGTAGAAAGCAATTACAACTTCTTAAAGAAGAGATTGAACAAAAAAGTAATCAAGTGAAGACATTGTTGAAGACAATGTGTGATGAATATGGTAGTCAAGCTTTCGATTCACAAACACAACAAAAGGGTAGAGAAGATTTAGTTCTTGACACTTCTTCTTCAAGGGTAAAACAATCATCTTCTAGTGTGCCAACAGAAAATCCAATGATATTTAGTCAAATCATGGATGATTGGGAAAATGAACTAGAAGACACCGAGGATATTGCGCTTGCACATGAGGTGGATAGGTATCTCCTTGACACTGTAGAGAATGTACCACATGGTTCACAATTTGATGTTTTGAAATGGTGGAAGTTGAAAGGGAGGAGCACATATCCCACACTTGCTTTGATAGCGAAAGATGTCTTGCCAATTCAAGTGTCAACATTTGTCAGTTAGAGTGCATTTAGTGGAGGAAAGAGAGTAATTGACCCTTGTAGATCATGTCTCCTTCCTCAAACAGTGGAGTCATTGATGTGCCTTCAAAATTGGATAAGAAGTGAACCAATTGGCAGCATTGAGTATGAAGCAAGTCCCGCGGAGCTTGAATTTTATCAAGAGTGTGAAGAAGGTAATTATCTTGTTTTTTATAGTTTGGTTTATAACTTTATATTAATTGGTTTACAATTAACGGTTGTTCTTTGTTGTAGAATATAAAAGAAAAAGAGCAAATACTATATCTACAAGTTCAACAATCTCATCAAGTGTTCTTAAAATTGAAACAACTCAAACGAATAAAGGAAAAGGAATTGCGGTAATATTTTAAACTCAAATGAATAAACTTTAAATTTCAATAATTCAATTTGAATGAGGATAGATAATATGATGTTGGACGTTAAAAATGTCATGTTTATATTCTATTTTTGTTTACAGATTCAATGAAGATTGTTGTTGGAACTTGGATTTTCGGATATTTTGTATGTTGATTTAATTTTTAGATGTTGGAAGATGTAATATCATTATTTTGAATGTATTGTTAATCTATGAACTTGGATGTTGGACTTTGTATTTAGATTGGATGTGAATAATGGTGAATTTGTGCAAAATATGCGTAAATGCAGTATGTGACTTTCTGCAGTTGCAATCTGTGCAGTTGTGTGCAGATTGTGCAAATCTGTGCAGTTTTGTGCAGATTGCAATCTGTGAATTGTACAATTTTTTTTTCTTTCAAACAACCAAAAAAAAAAAAAAAAAGGGACCTGTGGACCCGCCCCGAACCGGCCCGTTTCAACTGGGCCGGGTAATGTCCGGTTCTTATATTAAAAAATGTAATCCCCGCCCCAGCCCGCCCCGTTCCCTTTGAACCTAGGTCCGGTCCGGTCTCTTCAAAATTGGGCCCGGCCCGGCCCGTGCCCAACCCTAGGTTAAAGTTTAGGGAACATTGTTCCAATTGAATTAAAGTTGAGTGACAATTGCTAGAATGTTCTCATTTGGTTTTCATATTTAGCCATTGATTTAGCCTTATGTGGCAAGTGACTCATTTTGACAAAAGTTTTAACAAAGTTGATGAAAAGGACTATGCACGTTTTGATGAGTTAAGGGACAAATAATCACAGATTTTTAGATGAGGTATCCTTCCTCCAATTGGATTAAAGTTTCAAGGTTCATTGCTACAATTTTCTCTTATATCAATGGTACATAATACATGAACGTGGATTTAATGTTTTAATCTTAACATTTGACATCAAATCTTAATATGAGTGATCACAAACAAGAGAACGAGACTTAGACTTGAACAGAAAACATTTCGAGAAGCATGCCTACCCTTTTCACAATATTTTAAAAGACGCTAGGCACTAGTCGGGTGGCGGGCTGGGGTCTAGCGCCTAGACGGACGCCTAGGAGACTAGACGGATTTAAGTAAATCTATTATATTTTGTGTAAATAAGTGTGTGCTTATACTTAAAATATATATAATTTCATCATAAACTACAAAATAAAATGACATATATATTATGAAGTATTGGAACATAATAAAAACATGGAGAATAATGATATAATGTGTGTTCATTTAAGTATGCAACAAGTCTCTTATAATTTATTGAAAAAAAAATATAATGCAAGGGAGATTATATTCACACACCCCAAATTACTTCTCCCACATCCTTTTAATTTTTTAATATTTTTCTATCACGTGTTAGTGATGTGTAGAAAATATTAAAAAATTAAAAGGATGTGGAAAAAGTAATTTGGGGTGTGTGAATATAATTTCTCTAATGCAAAATGAAAGTTATCTATTTTCTATCTAAGTGAGTTGCAACCTAGTTGAGTTTGGACGGGCCAGGCGGGTGTCTAGGCGATGTAGGCGGGTGCCTCAGCACGTCTAGGTGTCATTTCTTAATTTTCAAACGCCTAATCATTAATCGGGATGGTGACCAGCTGCCTAGCGCCTATGTAGGGTCTAGACGATGCTAGACGGAGATTTTTAGAACAGTGCCCCTTCATGTAGTGGAATTATTATTAATTTATTTATATATTTCAAAACAAATTAGAAAGTCGTTCATCCACAAGGCAGAAAGCAGAAATATCAAACCTGGAGAGTACGAACTCTCCATGAAACAATCAAATATTGGTTTCATAAAATATGAAAATTTTCGTATGAAATGATAATAAATTCAGTACAAAAACTAGTCTCGTGGAATTTCGATCTTTTTACGGAGATACCGCAGAATTTGCTGCATAGAAGCCTTTGGCTTATCCCCATCTCTAACACATAACTTTGCCACAGCTAGAAGACTTTTGAGCTCCCTAGAATCGTAACTGCTACCAAGATCAGGATCTAGCATCTTGTGAATAGAACTACAGAAGCGAGACTCCCGGATCCATTGAACTAGATCTGCTCCTCCATTTTCTGATGATTGACCGGTGATGAGCTCCAGGATCAGCACCCCAAGCTGGAACATTATGTTACCGCATTCCTGACCCATGCAATCTGCATGAAAGGGGAAGAATATGAGGACTGCAGTAAGTATTTACGAGGGTTAGGTCAAGAGAATCAACCTTTCGGGCATGAGGTATGTGGCACTGTGACATAACTTTCACCAGAACTTTGAAGCCCGACGTCTGAAAGCTGTGATCAGAAAAACAAAGATCATATGAAGTTTGACAAAGTCGACAGCAGTAGCCTTCTTACACCTAGTAGATCCGAATCCAACGGAGTCCTCACCTTTGCATTAAAGTTTTCATCTAGCATGATGCTACTTGAGTTAATGGAGACGTGATACATTGGAGGTTCATTGAAGAGAAGCAAGTACTCCTGCATTGAAATTCTAGAACGCTGTAAGCTAAACTCCTCTGGCTGGCAATGGACATAGAGGAACTTCCAACACGTAAATATATGAGTAATTCAGGTACATTATCGACACAATAGAACCATAGAACTTTACAAATTTTTTGGATTAGTTGAGATATAAGAGCAGTGGATTAGTATCCTGCTTTAGAAGTGGAAAATGATACTGCTACAATCTTATGGTGACTTGATGCATGAAATCAAATTATGGAGTAAATGTTTGTGGCATTAAGATGTAAAATACCAATGCTGCCACGACACCAATGGCTATTTGTAGCCGTGTCCTCCAATTCAAGGGAGTTCTAATGGGATCTGCCAACAATAAAGAGAGAATCAAATTTTGCACAGATGCACACGTACACAAAATTCTGCTTGGAATGTTACCATTAAGATGCTCCTTCAAGCTCCCCCTTTCTATGTTGTCAAACACTAGGAACCTGAGAAAACAAACGATAGATATGTCAAATGAAAAAAAATTGAGAGCAACAGATAATTTCGACAACGGCAAAGGTATATAACTTATTCATACATTGCAGTCACCGTGGACAGAATGGTCGTATGACTAGTTCTATTGTCAATCCAAAAAACCGATCTTGAAGGAATGTCAATGTATTTCCTTAAAGGTTTATCTTCCACTTTCACGTTAAATATAGAATTCAGGAAATTAACAAGAGCTTGAAAAACCAGAGCAAATTTAACAGTTCAAGAAAAGGACCAATACACAAGGCAAATATCTTGAGCTCACTCAAAAGAAACCAACACTTTAACATCCCTGGAAAATGCACATCGGAAAGGTAATTAATTTCGTTTTGTGGCCTCTTTCGATTCGTGGACAGGGCAAAGCACCCATCCTCTAAACTTACCGCAGCATATATCCTAGGCAAAAACAAAATCATATAGTTTCCTCCATTCTCAAATGGTGGCCATTTATACGGGTGCGTTGGTGGAAATTAATGAAAGAAAGTGACAGAATGAAACAAGTTGAGCATCAGACCGTCTATGTCCAGTAGAGAATCCCCTGAGAGCAAGAAGGTGACGATGATGCAAGCACCCCAAGAGTTGCACTTCTCTGTAGAAGACATCTTTTCCTTGATCGTAGTCTCTAATTTCTTTTATCAATACAACTCCACCATCATGAAATCTGGCCTTATAAGCAGCTATATGAGAATTGGTATACATGATTGTCTCAAAACCATCCGTTGCTCTCTTTATATCCTTGTAAGGAAAATGCTTCATAAATAATATTTGGCCTGAAAATAAGAACATATAAGAGAGGTCTAATAAAAATTTATTCAACCACCCGTAATTGGAACACAAATTGAATTCAGTTTCCTTTTTCAACTCACTATGATATCCAGGTTATATTAGGAGTCAAAATCCAAGCCGTTGCCTCATAATAATTAGTCTGAACTTCGAAGAGTTACAAGTGAAGAGAAACTAGAAATACATTGTAACTATGGGGAATTGGTGCAGAGTGAGGTGATCGAAGATAAACTGTGCAGGCCCAATCTTGAGAGAGAGAGAAAGAAATTAAGGGAAACACAGACGCTATCCAAATTACCCCTATTTAATCCGAAACTCAGAGAATCGTATAGTATTAATGGACATGTATCTTAATCCATAATCAGTCGCTTTAAAAGTTTCGCAAAACTTGGTCTTTGTTCATCAAATGTAACTTCTATCAACCGAAATTTACCACTTGAGGATCAACTGAAATTTACTTCAGTAAGAATACTTCACTAAACATGAAGTTGCTCACATGCATAACAGAGATGATTTCTGCATTAATGTTCAACAAGCTTTTCGACAGATATTTAACTTGGCTAATTAGCGCATACAAAAACAAAAAGAAGCCTCTGAAGACAGGTTTGGCTCAATCAAAGAGCCAAGTTAAACTTTTCACAATTTTTACAGACCGTAATGAAACAAAAACGTACGGGTAATGCTACAGAGACAAAATTTACAAACTAAATGCTGTGTCACCAGTAGGAATGAGTACGTTTATCAATGCTTAAGTCATAATCGAATCATTAACTCCCATTTCATTTAGTTTGAAAAATTTAGTCTCTGTAGCATTACTCAAAACGTAAAGGTCTGCTTCGGTATATCACATTCAAACCAAGAAAATATAACTAGCCAAATTGCTTAAAAAATCCTTCCTCAATTGGCCAGTTTTAAGAGCAAATCCTCAGATTCTAACAGTGGACCTACAAAATTACTAGAATCTACGAAACGAACAAATTCCTCAAAATCTCAAAATTCAGATAGAAATCTGGGACACAACAGCCCTGAAGACCAAAACAGAGTAACAGCTAACAGCTCCAAGACAGTTCAACCAACATCATCAAAAACCAAAAACAAACCCACGTCGAATTGAGCAAATTAAACTCCGAATTCCGACAAACTGCATAAATCCGACGACATCAAACGGATAAGAAAATCCCATATTGTTTACAAGCCCAACAAAAATTCACGGTGAAGAGAGTAACAATTACTTGAAAACAAAAGAGTAGAAGGTAAAAATTTGAAGTACCCGACCGAGATCGGCGGAGCCACGAGAGGAGGCGAGGCCGGAGTTTGCGAATCAGGCGGTGCATTTGGGTGAATTGGAAAGTGGGATCCAAGAGGTAGGTGAAGTGGAAGAACAGAGGCTGAGGCGCTGTAAATTTCCAGTTCGTCCTTTATACTAAGATAAAAAGGTTAAGGGATGGATTCGCTTTTTACCTTTTTTTGTGGGGTGCTTAGCGAGAGAGAAGATTAGGAAAGAGGGTAAAATATTCAAAGCCCCAGATTAGTTAATAATTGAATAGAATGACACATGTGACAGTTGAAGTTAAAAGAATCCAGGGGTGACTGACTACACTGTTTTGGCGGTATACCTGTACAGATCCAAGATTTAGTTGACTATTCCCGTATCCCCCTCTAGCGTCATATGGACATTGTGCTGATTCGGAAGTGCTTCTAAATTGATCGAAAATATTTTTTGTGAAAATATTTTTGAAATTAATTTTAGTAAGAATTCAAGTGGATAAATGATTCATGCAATAAGTATATATCTGATGCTTATTTTAAAAAATCATTTAAACTGCTTTTGGAACCTAAAATCAGTTTCACGAAAAATGATTCTAGTTATTTTTAACTAGTCTATGGTCAGGCATAACGAGTTATTACATTGCTATGAGTACGACTAATGTCATGGATATTATCAAAGCAAAACTGATGCCATAATCCTAAATTCTTCATGATAACCAAAAAAAGGTTATGACACATCCCGATCCGAAATATCCACCTGGATTTCGAATCGAGTTATGTTGGCCGCCACTCGGAAAGTGACGAAATCATAAATTGTAGTGAGATGGAAAAAGTATGAATAAATTTAAACCTTAAAGTGCCTAAATGCAAGAGTGTGCATGTGAACGGGAATGAACCTATTCACACGTGATGTCAAAGTATAAGTAAAGTATAGTAAAAGTAGAATGAGAATTATACCATCGAAGGTAATCTCCTATTCCAACATTTGCCAAGAATTCTTGTTAACACGAACACTGCCACTAAATCTCGGAGGGGTGAAAAACAAAGGTAAGTGGGCCTAAAAATAAATCTTTATAAAAACCTTTTTGAAAACATATTTTTGAAGCAAGCAATATAAGAAATTATGAAAATAACAATATAAATTTCAATGATAATAATCATAAAGAAAATCACAACATCTATAGTATACAAGATTAATATAAACAGCTAGAGATAAAGTTAGAAAAACTGACAAACTTGGAGATTGAGGCTTGCATAAATGCAATGCCCTTAAGATAGAATTTTGCCCTACTCTTGTGCTTGTAGTTTGGTAGGCATCCATTTCCCAGGATTCAACAATCTATAATCTAAAGTCAAAGCACTTCAATCTTTAGACTATGACAAACTTTATATATTTCGTACTCTCAAGACATGACTCAGAATTTGACTAAGACATTGGAGAAAACTCTTCTCTTAATTCTATTAGACAGGTGGGATGCTTGAGTTTATATAGAACTCAAGCCACTCTTTTTGACACATTATGATTGTTGCGTAAAGTTCCAACGAATAGATACAACTCGTGAATTTGAATTCAACCATGACACATGACTCTTATTTTTCATTCATACAAAAATTAAATATTATAATATATAATTTCCAACAATCCCCCACATGAATGAAAAATTAAGAAGAATTTGAGAGTACATGCGGACAAGAGATGCATCGGGAGAGGTGTATTTTGGACTTGAACCTACCCTAGTGAATACTTATTGGATTTACTTGGTGACGCAGTGGATATGGAATCTTGAACTGTTCATAGCAACAGTAAACTGATCATAATATATTCCAGTTCATACGGTTGTCTTCACTTTAGTCCTGAACAAATCCCGAATTCATGAGAGCTTTAGAGAATTTAGTCATCTCATACTTATAGAAGCGACCCACTTCTACTCTCACATAGGTGACCACTGATTAAAAATACTCTACAATATTCCTCTTATTTATAAGATTAAGTATAAATATACATTCTAAAATTTCTGTAGACAACACACTTCTTCTAACATAGGAATGAGGTATATAGTGTGTTAACTTCTTTGAATCATGCCTAACTAGTTTGCCTATTGAAGTAGACCATAGGATTTCCAATCAACTAAGTTAGGTTTCCGCTAGGCTGATTCATTAGTTATATTGGCTTTAGCCTCATTCCCCTCGATAATCAACTTACTATCTAGTCTAACCTTTAATAATTGTATCCACCACTAGGTTGACTATCATTAATGGTGTGCACAATCCATCTTATGAAATTATATTTCATACGAGAGTAGTTGTTTGACATTGTTTGAAATGTCAAGCCCGCAAAATTATATTAGGACTTAATTACTAAGTAATTTGCTAACACTAAGCACTTGGGTAAACTCCCCCACATTTAAGGTATTTTTAAGAAGGTCTCTAAACTTGCCATACCTTAAACAAGTACTCATTACAAGAGATGACATCTTAAATGTCGTTCAATTAGCAAATTACTTTTAACCAACCTCCACAATTTTTTCATAATTGTAGTTTCTTTTAATGCTATCATTAAATCGATCACATTTTCCACTTTAAGAAGTAAGGAACAACTAAGATAAACTCTCTCTCTATCTTTGTAGGCATTCACGCCTCATTAGAATCCCCGCCAAGGAATGTCAACTGCCTTTGAATATAAGCCTTAATTTGCCTATACCATTGTAAGAGATATAATTTTTTCTCTCTTTCTAGAAGCATTTTTTTTTTTTTTTTTTTCAGACTTCTTAAGTTGACATATAATCTCAAGGATAGCTAAGTCACTCCCCCACATTTCATACGCATTGTAGTTGCTTTAATGTTATTTATAACTCTTTCATCATACATCATACTTGAGAAGAAAACCGATGAAAATAGACTTTCTATATCATATCTATATTCACCTGTTAGGGCTCTATCTTGACAACTTTCAAAGTTCCCATTTTTAAAGACTCATTTATAGAGTGCTTTAAGTCTTTCAAATATACCTTGCCCCCCACAGTCCAATCGTCATCTTCCAAAGTTGAATAACTCATGCAACATGATGAGTTCTGACTACACTAAAAGGCGTGTGTCCAGTTCTCTTAGGATTATATACCCTTTCATTTGAATACAACTCATTCCAACGGATCAGGTTTGAAAATGTATTCTATCAATTAGAAATGCAAGTTGTTCGTGTGAAGTAAATTTTCTTGCGAACACTAAAAACATACTTCACATGAAATCACACACACAAACGGCAAAGCCTCTCAATTAGTTGTGACTCATGGTATGATTCATGTAATCTAACATATGTGTTTGGTTGTTTTACCAATTAACATATCTTTACATTTTAAATGCAAAAGATACACAATTTACGTCTTTAGCATGAAGACGTGATTGCCAACTGCAAACTGATGCCATTCATAGACGCCATTGATCTATTTCGTTAGTCTGAAAAAGATCATCATAATCACATCTCTGTAACTTAATATAGTTACTGACAAAAGACCCATAAGTCATCATGCCCTTTCAACATTTTTGGAAAGATGGCATCTATTTAGTCTTTCATGCATTTGTTCGGATTTGAACAGTCATAGCCGTTCCCTTTTGGGCTTGGCAAGAAGGATGTAATTTCCAGCCTACCACATCCCTTCACCAATCAGTAACCAATTTGGGCAAACGTTGTGATTTATATTCAGATAATTAAACATACGCCCGATAACATACGGTTTGAATCGTCAAACCGTTCTACCACTTTGTTTTATTCCAGAAACCAATCTGCACTCAAAAGGCTTAACATGAAAATTGCAATCAATTGTTCCAGATACATTCCTTCAAATATGTGTGCGCATTCTTTGGGAAATTAAAATTGTCAAATAATATAACATCTGAAATTGGTTTGTCAAACAAAGAGATAACTAAATAATTAATTGTCAGCATGGACCAAGATTAATATAATAATCATGAATCGTGCTTCATATATAAAAACGAAAATACCAATTAGTACTATGGTAAGAATACGATTCATTAGACAAGCAAATGCACCGCTTCAAATATGATAGATTACTAATAAACTACTATGTCTATCTTGAGAAAAAACAAAATATAGTCATGCAATTAAACATATAATGTCTTTGAGTGGTCAATTAATATACGATAATATATCCAGCACCGTTGTAATCAATATGGGTAACGATATTAGACGCAAGTCATACATCCATAACGATCATCATGTGCAATGATCTGAAAATCATCACCAACTTGTTTGATGATTTTTTTTTTCTTTCACTGCTTTACGTATACTGCATACACGTATTATAGCCTATAATCCTTTGAATCATATTTTCTAACAATTGCATAGAGATATAAATTTCTATCTTTAGATTTTTGGAACAAGTAATATTAGAAATTATGAAAATAACAATTTAAATTCCAATGATAATAATCATAAAGAAAATCACAACATCAATAGTATACAAGATTAACATAAATAATTAGAGATAAAGTTAGAAAAACTGACAAACTTGGAGATTGAGGCTTGCATAAATGCAATGTCCTCAAGACAAAATTTCGGCGGGATGCTTGAGTTTATATAGAACTTAAGCCACCCTGATAGGCCCAGCATAGGGCTAGCCTGGGTGTGCAGTGTGCATGAAGCCTAGCAAGAGCTAGCTTCAGTTTGGGCTTGGGTGCAAGAAGCCCAACTAAAAAGGCTGGCTTTGGATCGCGGGCCAAGGCCCGGGAACCCAGCAAGCAAGCTTGCTGCAAGTGGTGAGTGGGAGGAGCCCAGCAAGCATCGAGCTTGCTAGAAATGGGCCAGGGGCACATGGGTGAGTCCAACAAAGCTGCAAGCTTACTGGAATGGACTAGGGTTGCAAGCCCATTTCAAAACCCTAACCAGGCCAAAGGCCTGGGTGTCATGCATGCACAGCAAAGCCCAAAGGATTGCTACTGTGTGGTTTAGACGGCCAACGATATCATCCTAAGGTGGTCCATGCGGCAGGGCTACAGGCCAGCGATGGGGCAATGCGGTGGTGCTGGTGGTGGCGCTGCGGTAAGCCACCGCTTATGCCGCATTGATTCCCGTATTTTTTTTCGAATTCTAGGGTTTAAAAACCTTATTGCTTCTAAATTAATTTCAATGCTTTGACACACAAACTCCACGTAGCATAACTGTGTATTGCATGAACAAGTATATATATTGACAAAATATATGAACATATATATAATATATATA